AAAAAAAACCCCGTCAATCATGAGATAAAAAATTGCTAATCAAAGTAAAATTAAACTTTTAGGAAATAATAGAGTGTTATCTCTTTTAAAGAAGTAAAGTACTACAAGTTAGCTGAAGAGTCTTATTAGTTTACACAAATATTAAAAAAAGACCTAGATCTAGGAATATTAATTAAAGTGAAGACATAATTAATTGAGAAGTGACTAGTCAGAAAGCAATAATCTCTAAAAATTAGAAGCATTAGTAAACAATGAAGATAAATGCAAAAGGAAGTAGTCACAAAGCACGGATAAAGGTAGAGTATTATTTACGGATTCAGACAAATTCCAATATTTTTTGTTTAAATTTTATTTTTATATTAAAATCATATTGAATATGTGAAATATTTAATTACAAATCAAATAACTAAACGAGCTATGAATTTTATGGCAAATTTAAAATTCATATGCTTCAAATTCTTACTTCAACTATAAAAATAGTACAAAAAAGTTGTAATGAGCAAGTGAGAGGAAACATTATAACTTGGACTACTGAATTGGTTTGGAAAAAGTCGGGGAACCAAAAATCGAACGAATAATTGATAATCCACTTTATACTTGTGTATCTTTTTTAAAACCATAAAAGGTGTTTGATGAGTAGTAGGATCATCTTTCGTATTAGCAGTGAAATTTTAACCTAGATTTGTTGTCTGTTTAATTTTTCTTATCCATTATCAGATTATCTCAAAGATTATTATAATTTAAATTTGCAGGATTCAATAATTAGATCTACTCTAATTATTTTTATATTTTGGATCTTCTTGGTAAGAAAAGAAGAAGAAAATATAGTCCAATGTACATGTATCGGAAATTGAACAACTTTGTCATTCGTTAAACTTTTGGATCTTTTAAGTTGCTCGTCGTCAATAGAATGGGCATAGTTAAAACCTTTTACTAATTGCAGGGTAAAAATAAACAAAAATACAGTTGATGGTAAAATTGTTCAATTTCAAATAACTCATGTACAAACTCGAAAACTAGTTAGGTCGACCTTACATCACTAACTACACTTGGCAAACACACATTTTGTAAAGAAGGCATTGCTATGCTCTCCTTCTCAAATTTACTCTTCTCACAAGTGGCAATAAAATCATAACTCTCTTATGAAAGAAAATTCCAAATAAATAAGGATCGATAATATGAATTTCCATTAATTATATATATTTTTTATTTAGCTAGGAGACCAGAAAACATCTTTCGTTTTCCACCCTTCATCGGCCCTTGCCGCCAATTAATTAATTGATCAAGAGGCTAATTCTTTTTGTTTTCTAAGGGGCATAAGGTATTGAGCAGTAGGTAGAGAAGGAAGAAAAGATCTCATCCAAAAAAAAACTGGGAAACTTTCTCTCTCTACAATTATTTCCTTCCCCCTAGATAGCCTCACCCCCACCCCCGCACAGGACCAACTATCACCATTGGTACTAAAACCTCCCGACCTATTGGACACCAATTCAATTCTGATGGAAGTTGAATCAACTCCAAAAAAAAGGTTAACACCTTTAAGGATATACTAGCGGACAAGAACTTGACAAAGTCAAGCATATACAATTATCAGTACAACCAACTAGAGACAGCTCTAAAATCCACCCCAGATGACACAATTAGGCCCATTATTCTCAGCCAAGAACAAAAGAACAGACTCTATCGCCCATGACATTTCTCATTAATCATCAAGATTTTTGTGGAAAAAAATTTCCCATCACCTATTGAAACTAAAATTACAGCACATATGGAATCCCACTGAACATCTAACACTAATAGATCTAGGATGTGATTTCTTTGTAATGAAATTTGAAAAGGAAGAGAACATGATGATTGCATTGTACGGAGGCCCATGGTTCGTCATGGGACACTTCCTCTCCGTCAAAAATTGGGAATCGAACTTTATTCCGGCAGAATAAAAAATACACGCTACCGCCATCTGGATCCGACTGCCCCAATTACCCATAGAGTTCTATGATAGAGAGATGCTGGAAAGGGTGGGGAGAAAGGTTGGTAGGCTGCTGAAAATCGATACGTGCACCTAAGCTACCTTAAGAGGCAGGTATGCAAGGATCTGCATCCAGGTATGCATCGAGGTACCACTTCAAACGATGATACTTATTGAGGAACATAAACAACCAATTGACTATGAAGGGGAGGGCATCCTGTGCAAGGGGTGTGGGCGGCTAGGTCACCTACTCAAGAAATGCCCAAATCAATGGCAGATAAGGGTGAAGGACACAACTAAAACATCATCGATGGGACACAGAACCAACAAAGATGATGACTGGAAAGTGGTGGAATTTCCACGTAAAGCAAAACAACAAGGGATAACGGAAGGTTTTAAGGCCCAGGTACGACCGGAGGTAACAAAGAAGAAATCAGGGAGCGAAAAGCGGCCACCAAATTCAGGTAAGTTCCCGTTCTTAGTAGCATTGATGATTTTGAGGGCAGAGCTGTGGAGCATGGAGACGCTAGGGCTGCAAGACATATGGGCCAAATGAAGCAGGCCTAAATTAAGCCACCCGGGCCTCA